TTAACAACTGTTTTTGATTTCTCGGAAGTTATCTTCTTAGTCTTCAACTACCATGTTTACGAAATTTAGATAATTAGGCGTCCCGCCTATTCAACATCTGGAGCTTTTGAGGAACCTTGTAAGAAAGAGGGTGGAGAAGATTCAATGTGGATCCTTGAAACGGAAACGGACGCACTAGGTAGATCAAATGATCGAACAGCCCATCGAAGTTTGATATTACCTCGAAAATTCATTGCGTATTTTTTTTCCCTCCTATCCGGCAGGTATATAAACTGCTTCACTCATCCTTACAATTGAAGACAAATGAAAAGTGCGGAGTGGGAGGGAAACGAGGCGAAGGATCGGATCGTACTACGTTGCTTGCCGGAAGTTGGGACCCATGGGTGTCGCGCGCTACGTCACAATGCACAGGATGTATACAAATAAGGGTGTTTGTTCGCGGAGCTGATTGTGGGGTGAAATATACGTGACGCTAAAAACGGGGGAGCGAGGAAGCCGGGTTGCATCCCTCGCGCTTGTGCCCGACAGTAAAGTAGAAAAGAATCCGGGCCGATCCATTCATCTAGTCGGTATAGTTGGATGGCGCACATGGATCACGAAGGCTTCAATGGACGCGAGAGTGACGTTTCATTGTGCACCGCGCTTTTCTCACACCTGGACCAGCGCGGCTTAGCTCCTCTTCGTTCCGCTTCGTTCAGACGCGCGGATCGTGACAGGATGAAAATATTATCACAGCATATGCAGCTTCTACGTGCAGGACTTAGAAGTAACATGTGACTCATGCAGTAGCCAATCAGTCTCTCGGTTTTTCATTAATAATAATTGGAAATGATTGGTTGCCGTCTCACTTTTTTGCCGTGTGTAACGCATTGCTGCATTCTATATGCAAGAACCATTAATTCTTAACGGTCTAATGCAAAACAATAACTTAATTAGAAGTTAATAGTTAGAAGTTAATATTTATTAACTTTGTTTAATCAATATTATCTTATCAACATTCTTTTTCTATTTTTTTCTTACTTATTTTTCTCATTTTTCATTCTTATTTTATTTTTTTACTTATTTTTTTTTGCTTGTAAGTAGACAAAATGATCCAAAATTTGAATGCAGAATTAATCTTCTGCAAATTTTAAAAATTTATATTTGGGGATAAGCCGAGGTATCATTTGCGCGTCTGATTGATCCCCAAGACCGTTGACTAACAAAGCGGAAAATTCAGGCCGATTCGTTTCGAAGAGAGAAAGTAAAAGCTTTGAAAGGCAGTTTTCGCGTCAAATATGGCAATGACAAATTTTTATTATAACCACGTTGCTTCCCCTTATTCTTCGAGTTTGTGCTTTCATGCGGAATAAACCACGACGTATTTCTAAGCGACAGGTGATGGTAAGAGTCGCTGTTGAGGGGCCTGGGGCTTTAATTCCTCTACGAAAGAATACTTTGATGGGAATCGACGTAGCTATATGTCTGACAAATTTTCAAAAAGCCGAATTTATAGTCCTTCCAGACATTGGGGCATCCTGGAATCAAAACGTGACTGGAGAGTACGATTTCGTTGCATGAAGAGATCTGCCTTTCTTCACATATCTCTCATTTCTTTGGACTATATTGTAAACGCGGTGCATTATGGTATATTACTGCAAGTAATAGTATTAATCTTTAGAACTTTTCATTTTTTGAAAGAATTAAAAGTTTTCCGCAAAAGGGAGAAAATCATAATTTTTCTCATTTCCGAATTTTTAAATTGATATAAAGTATACATATACTATCAATATTACTTTTAAAATAGTTCATTCTATCTCTTTAATAAAAAAAATTACAAAATTTTTTAAAATTATAATACTATATAGATACTATATATATATATTAATATATGTTTATTTTTTTTCCGCGTGGTAAAAAAATATATATTAGGAAAATATGCGTATTGTATAAGATAGAAAACTTCTTAAAATTCTTGAAATTCTTTTAGAACTTTATCTTAAAACCATTTGTATCTTCTATTAAATACTTTTTCAAACATTTTTTGTAAAATGTATCATTAAAATTATTTCTATTTAGCCTTCCATTTTTCTCTCCCGGAAAATACGATCAATCATTTTTTTACGAAAACTAGAACAGTACAAAACGCGCGCTTCGCGCGCGCCATTTATTTTTTAATATTATATATTTTTATATAAAATATTTACATCGCATATTATATAATCTTATATAATATTATATAATCACATATTAAAAATCTCACATAATTACTATTAATATTAATTAATTAACATTACTCCGAATTTTCATTTCCAAAATTTAATATTTATTCTTGTTCCTGATATTTCCTCCGCGTGTAAAGTTCAAAGGAAAGATGTATATATCTTATATATAATTTTGTTATAAACGTTGAAATTTTCTTTTGTGTTTTCCTTTATGTTTGAGATAGCGATACAATAGCGCGCGGCCTTGGTACTTTGTTTATAATCGACGGGTATTGTATACGCGCGCGCAACGCGTTATCATTCAACCACCGACACTCGTGCGGGCAGGTGGTGTTACGTTAATCGCTCCGCATTTTCACATTTTCTTTTCGAAACGAAGTCGCGACGAATTCTAGATGATGTTCAGAACATCTTACGATGCATGTTATAATAAACGTTGATCGCTCGCGCAGTTTGTCGGATTTATACGTACATATCAAAAGACGACTTGTTTTATTTGAATATTCCGGACGGCGGGAACTGACTCGTATTCACTGAACGCTTATCTTTTGAAGCATAAGAATAATTTATTATAATAGTAATAATTTATTTTTGTAAACGATACTGTAACGATGGGTATTGCCTTAACATGGCGGAAAGGCTGCGTATTCTGAAGGGCTTTCTTTAATGATCTAATTCGAGTATCTTCAATATAAATTCTCCTGGAATGGTGCTTCTCTACTTTGAAATTCTCACTCTGATTTAAATGCAATTTACATTTTGTAATATGTATAGTTAGTTTATTGTATCAATCATTTATTAGTCTAGCCAAACTATTGTTGTTTTTAATTAAGAGTTTTTACCTGCCGCGGCTGGTACGTCACGTGTTTACGAGCGCTCCGCGCGCTACCAATGTCTCACCGGCGTTCGAAGGTCACAGGTCACAGTACGAATCGTATTTCTTCGCATTTTTTTAATGCTAAACAATACCAAATTGTGTTGTATCTTGTATGAATATAATAGTAAATGCTTCTTAACGCGCGTGATTAACAACTCGTAAGCACATCGAAATGACGAATCTCTAACGAAGTATATACATATTTAACGTAATTTATTCCTTTGATATTCATGAATTTTTATAAACAATAACCCCTCCAATGGGTATGGCCTTGACGTGGCAGAGGGGCTCAGTATTCCGAGGGATTCTTTTGGGTTCCCCAACGGAATCCCAAAGACGAAGAAGCTAACAGTACCCGTTGCACCGTTATTAGTAACATTAATGTTAACATTAGGTAATATTATTGTTATTAATAATGTACTAACACAGCATAGCCACGAGTCGTTCAATGACTCTTATGTGGCAAGTTAATCGGTCAATTTTTTAAATCGACCGTCATTTT